TGAATAACGTGAAATGGATATATTTTTTTTTTTCATTTCATCGGAAGTACACCGAGGTTGCGAGGTTGAACAAGACGTTTTCGCGTCGGGAAAACGTTTTCACACACGCATCAAATGCTTGAAATCAGTGTCAGCGCCTGTCAGCTTGAACGGAAAACGCGCTGTCCGTTGTTCTCCTGGTCCCGGCGCGCGCCCTGCTTTTCTTCGGGGCGCAGGGCACGTTTTTATTGCGCTGCAACGCGGCGTTACTTTAACAAGGTGTGTTATATACAGCCCTCCCGTGGAGTCGCATGCGTTTCTTACACGACGTGCACTAGAGATACCGCTGTCTCCTTAATGAAGTTATCTATAAACAGTTATGCCAGGCCACTGCGGGCGCCCGCGTGCATTGCTCTGCTTTGGCGGCCGCGCGCCTTTTAAAGCGAGTTGCCGTGGCGTGGCGAAGGGCGTCGGCCGCCAGCCGCGCTGAAAAGCGAAACGGCGACACTTTCCAGCGCCCATTGATTGGGCCGACCTGTCGCGAGCCTATATACGCGTGGCACGCATTACGTTTTTGACGTATTGCGTGTTTTGCTTATTTACCCCCCGTTATTCCAGTTCCGAGTGAGGGAGGGAGCAGTGGAATTTGTGGAACGTGCGCGGCGTCGCTAGGACCCACTTTTCGATCAGCGGGGGACACCCAGTGCTGCTGTTGGCCTCGAAGAAAAGTGGGAGGTCTGGCGACGTTTAAAAAAGCGAGTGCACTGCCTGCCGGCCACGCCGCCAAGGTCTATCAGTCGCACACAGGTGGCCCACATTGCTTGCCGCTGGTCGGCCTGGCGTGTGGTGCAGTGTTCTAATTAATTTGCGGGTCGCTTGTCTGCCGTGCTGAAACAACGGCGATGCCAATTCTATGAGACGCTACTATACAGTAGAATTCCAGAAGCGCTATAACAAGAATGTTTTTGACTTAGCTTTTATTGCTGTATTGCCGCAATGTTGCACGGGACTGCAATGCCAAAGGTGAAGCATAAGGAAAAGGAGTTGCCGACCGCCCGTCTACCCAATCAATGTGGGTTTAACGCCGTACCGTTGTTATATGCTGCACATAGTGCTGAAGTGTGGCCCATAAGTTATAGACAAAGAAAAGCCCACCGTCTGTATTTCATGGCATGAATAGGACATGGTTACGCGGACGGTTGACTACTCCTTGTATTAATGTCCTAATGTTGTATGAGACGAGCCCTAAATTATGTACCCATACTACATATCGACTCCAGTTAAGCACAGTATAGGTATGCTCAGTACGCGTGATCCAGTTGCTGTTGCATCGCGAGGGTGTTTTGCACTTTAAAGGGGTACATTGGCATAAATACGGGTACCACAAACTTACAAAAATCCTGTTTTAATCATGTCAGCCAGTTCCATTGGTAAGGGATCTTATACTGTGTAAGTCGCTCGCGAGTGTCTGTACGAACCATGGAGCATGTACAGAAGAAAAAAAACTAATAGAAAAAGTGTCGAATTGTTCTGGTACCGCACAGTCGTAAAAAAGAACCAAAATGGGCAGGGATGACATAACTGTTGAAGTCACTAACTTTAACAACAGATATTAGCGGATGTACTAAGCGGGTGTGCTTTCGTTTACGCTGTTATTGCAGTTCTCGAGTTTTCTAAAGTATTCGTTTCCCACCATGTGTATATTTGCAAGAGCACAGATATTAAACACTGGCCAGAACAGAACAAAAAGAAGCAGGAAAACCGTGCAAAGTATGTTGCCGTACAGGATGCTGTGGACTGTCAATTGAGGAATTTCATAAATAAAAAAAGGCGGACTTTCATGCAGTTGGGTTTCGGCTACTGAGCGTCCATTCGGGTTGCTAATGGCGTTGCCAAACGATTTAGAAACCTCATTGCAACATGAAAGAAACAAACATGAAAACCAACTTCCCGATGACCTCGCGAACTCTGTAATGACATGTATCATGCATCGTTCGCGAAGACAGGTCTTCTGAGAACCTTACAAGTCCCAAGCATGCTTCTTCTGGTTTACAACGAGACGCACGTGTTCCATCCAAATCTCGGCCCCGACAAGCACTATGCGAACGAGCTTTTGTAAGGTCGCCGCTGAAGTTTCCTTTTCTAATGGGCCGATCGACCCGATCGGAAGATCTCCGATTCCCGTATGGTCATCAAGATGTGGCTTACTGTGTTGCACGTGTCCATGGAGGTCGCCTGTCTGTGGTCCTCTATCGGACCAGGAACAAGAAGACGCACGACGGTCGTTCGGTCCCTCAAGGTCCCGGTAATAGTGCGCGTGTAATGATGTCGCAGTAGCCGCGAGCTGTGGAAGTGGCGTTCAGCGCGAGCTAACGGTCTCTCAGCGATGGCTCGTCGTGGCGAGGTGTACTTCGAATAGATGCGTTTACTTCCGCTTGCTCTCCGCGTTAGGCTTATCGCAACGGATGAGTCCAGTAACCTTTCTCGCTTGTTGTGCTCACTCGAAGGTCGGCCTCGTATAACGATGTTTACATATCGCGTGCTCTCGGGAACGGGTTGAAAAAGGCATCTTTTCGACAAAGAGTACAGTTTCACGCGCTATACGTTGTCTGCGCTGATGCGGGGTTCTGCTTTCGAACGCGATGTCGAGAGTTCGTCTCCTGGCCGCGATTGATTGATTACTTATTGGAGGTTGGTGGCTGAAGGGCCAGTGCTGGCCAAAGAGCGCCACACAAAACAAAATGAGCTGTTAGAGGATGATTTTCTGGTGGTCGATGTAGAGTGGCTGTGAAGCGGCCTTAAAAGCTTCGTTAAATGCACGTTGTGTATATACAATAAGATCATGGGGAAACGTATAAAACACAAAAAAAGGTACGACGATGTGATAAAACCGCTAGTGTCGGGTTATCAGAAGCAGCCTGTCTCCGGCACTCTTGGTTTCAAGGGTCAGGAGGCGTCTGTCGTACAAGTTTATATCACAGCACCAGTCTCTAAAAAGAGGCTGTGTTGCGAATCCGATCGCCGGATAAATTGCAACAGTCCAGTGTCACGTATATTCTCTAATACTTGTTTGGTATTTTCCTGGCCGCGCGGCCACATTCGCATGCAGTCGCGGCGCGAAGGCGCCTGTGCGTGCTAACGTTGTAATTAGTTCATTGCGTGTTAAAGAAAATAGGGCGGCAAAGCAAATTCATCTGGAGCTTTGGTCAACGGCACTGAATGGAACCACTGTTCCAGGATTCGATTGCCTTTCGTCGAAAGGCAAGAGTTCAATGTGCGGTCGCGCAGAGTGCTGAAACGTATACTAGGTACTTAGTTGAGAAAACTGACGGCTATGCACACCGCTACCTTCGTTTATTTCAGAGGCGAAGCTCCTTATAATCTAACCTTGTCACCAATCAGGCGTAAACGAGAGGACAGACAAAAGAGAAAAAAAGGAAATGGATGGCCATTTCTCGTGTCATTTCCTAGATGGCGTTTCTATGCCGACACTCTCCGAAGTGCAGCTACTCTCCGATTGGTTGCTGAGCGCGCTTTGCCTCAGTGCGCGAACGTGCAGTGCCTCTGTCAGTCTCCTGAATAGTCGCCGTATGTGGCAAATCGTTGGTGGGCCATGGACGAAACAAAGCGCCTGGTGCGCTGGAGACGCTAGCGCTGGGCTTTCTTGGCTTGCGTCTCTTCGGTGTTACCCACGCGCCGTCTGCATTCTCGAACGCGATCGTACGTGTGGACGCATGCACGGACGGATGGATAGACGGATGGATGCTTCGTCCCACTCATCATCATTCACTCCATGGATATGCTATGCTGTTGGGATGACTGCCAGTTGGGCGTGTTCGTAAAGGTTCATGATGAAACAAGCGCTAAAAAAGTACAGGAGGTTCGGAATGACGCACATGCGTGCTATTGCATATATAGTGTTCGCTTCGAAATAAAATTTTCAGTTGCTAGTAAGTGCTCGTCTGCGTCCTCTCTGAGTGTGTGTACTTTTTAGCGCTGGTTTCATCATGAGACGCTGTGATTTTATCTTCACTCTATCTGAACTGCATTTAGCATTCAGAACGTCGTGCATGTCAGGCGAACCCCGCCGGCTGCAACATTACCACCACCGACATCTCAAAGGATGTTTCATCAGACAAGACTCGGGAGCGATATCTAGGAGGCGCTTACACTCCATTACGTAAAACCTATAGAAAGTGCAAGTTGTGGGCATGGTGCATTCATGATAAAATTTGATATTCAGAGTGACAAGAGATGTTGGTACGGACCTAATGTACGTGACAAACGCTTTCGGAAAAGATTTATGAACGCTGTTCGAAAAGAAATCTCTCGGTCACATCACCGTTCATGTACATGTAAGGTGACATCTATTACCGCAGCATACGTGGCTGAACAATGTAAATGGACGTAATCTAGCTTTAATCACTATGTTCAATCTTGCTTCGATGGTCGCTTAACAAAGAAAATATGAAATGTTGTTCCATGTTGGGTTGTTACGGAATACCTTTTAATTTCCCTAAAAGTGACACATAGCCGCGTAGATTTGAGAACGATAGACACAAAAACATTACTCGCAAATCGTACATGTTAACCGTGTATCGTCATCAAGCATGCGAGCACTGTGAAAAAAAAAACGCTCTTACGTTAGCGCGACCATGCAGCTTATGAGAGATTATGATTATGAGAGACTTATGAGAGATTGTTGAAATCAACAGTAACGAAATTGTCTACTGGCAATGATACACTGGTCAAAATTTTAGAAATCGTCGACCAAGGTGAAAACATATTTACTTCATATTGTATGTATTGTAAAATATAGCTTCATTTGAACAATGCCCCGATGAGGGAGCCGAAACGTCAATTGCAAATATGTCTTCACCTCGGTTGGCGTCTTTCAAAGTTTGCGCCAGAGGAACTGTTGACATGTTGGCTTGCAATTTTGCTCCAGGCTGAACGCACTGTCCGAACGACAACTCACACAGACAAACTAATAGATGATAACGACAATAGCAAGTACTCACCGGAGCCGTAGCCGGAGCACGCAACCTCCCGTAGATCCGGATGAAACTCGCCGCAGACGGAGAAAACGGGTAAAAAGACTCCCGTTAAGAAAAAGCGAGTCGGAGAGCAAGATTCTCGCCGAAACGTCGGGGCCGAGAGTGAAACCGCTCTCAGTGCAGCCGAACCCTCCGGCTGCTTCTCCGTGGGGCGCTCGTGCGATGCGGAGGACAGGCGACACACACGTCCCTTGACGGTCTCCTGTCCAAGTGGGTCAGAGCTGGCGGCGCGCGTCCGCTAAACTGGCTCCGCCGACGCTGCAAACGAACCGCCACGCGCCAGAAGTGAGCGGGGCGAGCGTTAAACTTCTCTTCTCCCGAACGTCGTCGGTCCCTTTCTTTCGGTTCTGCGCTAGCCGGTTTGGCTTCGTTCTCCGTTAGCTTGCCGGCTGGGGCCCCTTCTGGAGACCTGCACTGGTGGGTGGTAGGGGAGGCTGGTTGCAGCGCAAGTTTTGTCGTATAAGTCCGTGCGTCTCCTTTCTTCTTCTTCTCGAATTCGACTCTTTGTCCTCCTCTCTCCAAGTATCGGCGCAGTGGTACGGCTGCAACAGAGAAGGTTCGAACGTGACACACTCGGTTAAAACCAACGCTGATCTGTACACGTGCACGAGTTTGACGTGTAACACTTGTCACGCGGTTCCTCTTCACTTTTCCGAAGGACCAGTGGAGTTCTTTACCTTCTCAAGGACCGAAGAACTGGCGGCCGACCCGTGGGTCGATAGCTGCGGCGTCCTGTACCCAATCGGGCCGACAAACAGTTGTCGATCTGACACGTCCTTGCTCGTCGGCTTCCTTGTCGATCGTACACTTTCCAGTTGGCCCTAAGATGCCTTGTCGATTTCCTTCGGTCGTTGTCGGCACGACGTTTCTTTCACGCTCGCTTAGTTGTCTGCACACTGCACTGGTTCGTACGTTGTCTCGCCTTCTCTCCGTGTCTCTCCACACCTGGTTAAATCTTGTACACGGAGTGCCCCGTAAGCCTGGAATACGGGAGATCCTCGTCCCGGCGTCGGCTCTCGGTTGCTTCGTCGTAGTCCGCTTCTGACGACTCGCTGACGCTTACCCCGAGTCCGAAGCCGACTGACTACACTCCCTGTGGTACAGAGCGGGTGACTATAAAGCTCGGGACGAGGAGGTTGTCGGGAAATAAAAGAAAGCTGTGCCTTCTAGCGCAACTGTGGAGCACAGCACGTGAACGTGTTTTGTTCGCCTTTCTGTCGTCCTTCTTGATTTTTATTGCGACACTTCTATCACGAAAATGGCGGTAGTGTTAGAGGAAAACGTTGGTGGAAAGGATGGCGTGAAGCGTTAGCGTTATGAGCGTCTAGATGTGTGGCAAGGAAGAAGATGAAGAAGCCACGTCGCGAGGGGAGGATGCAGAAAACGTAAGAAGACGGGACGCGAATGTGTCAGAAGAGAAAGTGAGCGCAATCCTGGCAGTACGAAAAAAGAAAGTGTCACCGACATCCGTTGGCTTCCCGGAGGCAAACGCTTGAAGGAAGAGGGTGACTGGTTTTTACACAGCTGGTTTGCTTTCTTCGCAATGAAGCTGTTCTCAGACCCGCGGAGGTGTCTTAGCTAAAGTTCACGAGTAGCGCTGGAACGAGTGTGCTGGTTCGAGTCCGGGTCGCGGCGGCTGCTTTCCGATGGGTTCGAGGTGACATTTGATCGTATGTTGCTTAGCTAGCTGGCACATATACTTGTCAGAAATGACTGTGGCGCCAAAATGACGGCAACAAAGTATGTGTCGGTGGTTTTACGTGCCCAAAACCACCATATCACTGTAAACGAAAGTTAGCCGAAATGGGAGTTTCTCCAGCACATGTGGCCACAAAACTCCCCTGCCCCAATTATTTACTCCCTGGTAGGGAGTGAACTCGGCACATGTCATCGTAAAACGCCCCCTCCGTAATCACAGAGTTTATGAACGACATGACCTTGTTAAACTCCCCAGGGAGTTTCAGGTCACGTGGTTACAAACTCCCTATAGGAGCTTTAAAAACCCTCTTTGGGCGTGACGTGTGTGTGTGTGTGTGTGTGTGTGTGTGTGTGTGTGTGTGTGTGTGTGTGTGTGTGTGTGTGTGTGTGTGTGTGTGTGTCTGTGTGTGTGTGTGTGTGTGTGTGTCTGTGTGTGTGCGCGCGTGTGCGTGTGTCTGTACGGGCATATGTTTGCACGTCGGTGTGAAACACATGTGATTTGTGTGGCTAACCGTGTAAGCATCTGTCAACAGGCAAAGAAATTATAAGTGCAGCGAAGAATAGCAACGACTGGTTGGTATTTACTGGGAACATTTCAATATATTTCGCACCTTAAACCACGCTGCACATCGGTCCGATTCCTCAACGAAACGTCCTGAATGCCACGCTTCAAAGGGCCGAGTAACAAAAAACTTCGAAGAATAAATTAATGGTAGCAAAAGTAAGCTGTTACGATCGTCAGCAGCTGCTCCTGGAGTTTCACCATCAGAAACTTCGAAGTGGTCTGAAGTAGGCTTCGCTCGACTACGGCAACCGGTCTGAGAGTTGCGCCGGCGACGCGCTCGCCTCGTCTCCGCCGATAGTGGCTTCTCGGAGTGTCACCGGTATTTCACCAGCTGTAACATCTAAGTGGTAAGAAGGCCTCGCTATGCCGTCGGTATCAAGCCGGCATCGTATCGAACTCGCACTGTGCGCTGGCCACCGCGGCAAGCGCTACGAGCTAGCACCGACCACCGGCGATGCAAAGAATGTGTTTCACAAAAAATGAAGGCTGCTGGGATGTATAACAGTCTTCTGCGCCTTGCGACCGCAGCTGTCAATGACTAACTACAAGGCGAGCGCCGAACGAGGCGGAGTACGATCGTCAGCGATTGCACCGTAAAACTTCGAAGCGGTTCGAAGTAGGCTTCGCTCGACTACGGCAGGCTGGCCGGCTACCGGTCTGAGAGTTGCGCCGGCGACGCGCTCGCCCCGTCTCCTCCGATAGTGGCTTCTCGGAGTGTCACCGGTATTTCACCGGCTGCAACATCTAAGCGGTAGGAAGGCCTCGCTATGGCGTCGGTATCAAGCCGGCATCGTATCGAGCTCGCACTGCGCACCGGCCGCCGTGGCGAGCTCTGCGAGCTATACATGCAATGCATGCGAGCAACGGGAACAGCGACTGCGAACCGTCTCATTCGTTTAAGCCTATCGCTCCGTAGCTTAAACTGCGTGGACAGCGGACACCTATTTCTGTGCATGGGAAAAACGAGACGTAAACTGCACATCAGCAAGCATTTTGTGATCGCCAGCTGTCATTCATCGAATCACCGTGCCGTACTCGTGAGTGAGGCCTAGTCGTCGAACGCGGTAGCGGCGGTCTACCTCGGTTCATCGCTGGAGCTGCTGAATGTGCCTCGTTAATGTGTTTATTCAAGGCCGCGCGCACTTTGTGTATGATTCAGTGCATTTTACGGGTCCACAAACAGCACTGCTGATGCGAATTCAGCCTGTACGACAGAGCGTCCACTGATAAAACTTTTTCGTTATAGTAAAAAAAAATATTAAATATTAGGCAGGATTAGGATAAAAGGCATGTGTGTTGAAATGCTTACATCAGACCACCGCAAGTTCATACTTACGCCGTGCGTATTTATTGCTTAATTATTAGAAAAAAAAAGGCTTTCACCTGGGCTACAGGAGGTCAGAATATGGTGCCTATATATACTCGGTGACTATATTGTAGGTGTGTACTGCGTGTGGCAAGCTGTGGTGAGTGCGAGTGTTGTGAAATTACGTGAACGTTGTGGTAATGTTTGTGTACTGTAATCATTGTTGTGCGTATTAAATGTAATGTAATTAAAGTTACGCTTGCGCATGGTACCGCTGCTGACGTAATTTTTTTTCTCAGTCGATGCAAAAAATTTACTCCCATACTGACCTGAAAAAGTTCCCCTATGGATGTAAATAAAAACCCCCCTGACACCATGCGAAAACCCCCTTCTGATGGGGAGTAAATTTTTTACTCCCAGAGACGGGTTTTTTAAAACTCCCATCTGGGTGTGCGCTAGAGGACAAGGTCATTTACTCCCATTTCGGCTTATTTCTGTTTACAGTGATATGAACATGAGAGACGCCGTAGCGAAGGACTCCGAAAAATTTGACCATCTGGTGTATTTTGACGTGCACTGACATGGCGCAATAGGCGCATGGGCCTCTACCTCTTTCGCTTCCTTTGAAATGCGACCGCCGCGGCCGATACCGAACCCGTGACCTTCCGGTCGGCAGCTGACCATTATGACCACTGTTCCACTGTGGCCGGCAGTGACAAAATATGTCGCTTCGTGTTTTCGCATTGTCCGCGTCCTTTTAGTGCCGTGCCTATTTTTGTAATACAGAAGCATAGGTTTGCTTAAATTTTGGTCCGCGCTTGCAGGGACGTTGACAAAATTTTTTTTCGGGAGGGAGGGTGGGAGGGGGGGCTACATTGATTGGAAGAGACGCCCGGGCAGACAGATGAGGTTGAGTCATTTTGTGGTTTGTACGCCTTGTACGCCATGACGAAAACGATGGTTCGGTGTGCCACTCTCTGGCTACGCTACTGCCACCATGTCATTTCCATTTCTCCGCATTGTTTGCCCGTCCGTACTGCCCTGTTTTTATTGCGAGAATCAACCAAATTGCCCGGTTTTATACTATGTTCTAGATTGGCGTTATGGTAACGAACCCTGGGTGACAGACGTGAGGGAGTTTTCGAATAGGGGCCGTATTCGTTTTGGGGCCCCAAAGAAATAGCGTCGAGGCCACTGCGCATGTGCGAGACCCAAACGGGGTTTGGGTCTTGCGTAGGGGACGCTATTTCTCGAATTCAGCGCGAGCCACAAAGGCTTTGCGTAAAGCAAATGTGGCGGCTCTCGGCCAAGGCTATAGGGCAACCTAGAATATAGGGTGAGTCTGCAAAGGCCAACAGACCCTATTTAAAAACCTTTTCTCCTCCTGCTTGACCCGAAGCGTGCATACGCAAAATGCTCTGGGGACCCCTATCGGAAAACTCCCTAATAAACTGGAAACCGTGCTACTACGTATCTCAGTCAAATTGGGACTTCCGGCACGTGATTGGCCAGAAGTTTTTACAGCGATGCTGTTTTCGGCCGAGCCTTTTATGTATACGCGTGATGTTTGTGGACGTCATGAATGGGTATGCTCCATAGACACTGGGTAAATCCCGCTGTCTACTCAATAAGCAGGCGTCTGTTACCAACAAACGAGTAAATAGAGAGTTTTAGTACTGCGGAATGGTGCTACGTACGCATCACGCAAGTGCCTTGCGTTACGTGGCGTCGTTTGCCACTAATCGGCTTTTAGTACGCCGTAGTACCCGCGTACGTAACGAGCGTGAAGCGTGTTGCGTCATCTGGTAGATCAAAATAGAAGCACGTGTTGTTGACAGCCAATGTGAGCCAA